ATAGTACATAGTACATAGTACGTAATACATAGTACCTAGTACATTGCACAGATATAGTACATAGTACATAGTACATAGTACGTAATACATAGTACCTAGTACATTGCACAGATAGTACAAATGTACTTAGTACATAGTACATAGTCCATAGTACATGGTACATAGTACATGGTACATAGTACATAGTACATGGTACATAGTTCACAGTTCCTAGTACATAGAACATGTTGCACAGTGCATAGATAGCGTGCAGAGTGCTTAGTGCATTCTACTGCATACTGCCCAGTACATAATACGTACTAGATATTATGTAATAATACTTTGTACATAGTACTAGTCCTAATGCCAAACATCACACAATGGGTCCTATGGAGAACCCATTTTTTAATTTTTTTAATCGATCATTCACATGGCGTCCAGGTCGCAGTTGCCCGTTTTATTGATCATAGTATTACTATGTACTATACATAGTACAATACTATACTATGTATAGTGTCACATTGCCTCTGCGACAGTCACTGACTAAGGACCCCCATGAGATTTGACAAGTCAACAATGTACATACCACATACACATAGTACACGGCCCACTACACTGCATAGTACATACTATGTAGTAATACTCATACTATACGGTGCACTACACTGCATAGTACATACTTCGTAGTACTACTATGTACCAGTATTATGCACATGTTTTTGCAAAGTCTATATATGAACCGTAGGTCAATGGGTTGTAAAATAGTGGGTCGGTGTCCTGCATAACTTACCCATTTCTGGACCCCCAAGGCTCGATCTTCCCGAGAAGTGGATCCACTTGCTGAAGCTGCCGCCTCTTCTCAGCTATGGTGCCCAACCACGTCTCCACCTGAACCAGACGAAGAAGAGAAGGGAAAAAAGAAAAAAAAGAAAAAAAAGAAAGGCAAACACAGATACACGCATACCAAATGCTCAGAACTGCACAACCTGGATTAAAAAAATAATAATAATAATTAAAAAAAAATGCATGACCTGGCACTTGACAAGCGTAAGGGAATCAACGGCAACTTCAGAATTTAGAGCATCTACTACCTTCTTTCCCCGAATACAACGTACCGTCATTATAGTTGTATGTATTCGGGACATCTTTCAGTCTAAATACGGCTATAATGACCGCACGTTGTATTCGGGGGAAGACGGTAGTTTTGGAGTCTTTGGCCGGATGGCGAAGTGACAATCATTGCGTAAACACCTATGTTACCAGAGTGGCCCGGGACCACTTGCCCGGCTGGGCCAAAAATGAATTAAAAAATAAAAAATAAAGATTAAAAAATGCTTTTTTTAAATTTAATTCTATTTTTCATTTTTTATTTCACAAAGAACTTCAGTCCGTTGTTTGTTTTTAAAACTTTTTTTTATTGTTCTGCA